GAACCGATGCTGATACAGGGAGAAGGGTGCAGCCTATAGCTGGTGGGAGGTCATTATGCTGATAGGGAGAAGGGTGGCAGCCTATAGCTGGTGGTGGAGGTCATTATGCTGATAGGGAGAAGGTGCAGCCGTATCAGCTGGTGGTGGTAGTCCATTATGCTGATAGGAAGAAGGGTGCAGCCTATAGCTGATGGGGGAGGTCATTATGCTGAATAGGAGAAGGGTGCAGCCTATAGCTTGGTGGTGAGGTCATTATGGATTATTAATGTAGTCAACCTTATTTTAGATTTATTCCTTCTAAATTCGGACGCATCTCCAATATTCCGCTTTCAAAAAACAAGATATAATGTGGTAGTATATCATCTGTAACAGTTTAGAGATCCCGATTTGCCTATGTCCTTTTTTGTCTTGGTTTATAATTGTTTCCCATAAAAAGATTTAAGGTGGTAGTTAATTCCCAGTATGTATAATGATTGAATCAGGATGCATGATCAAAGATTGCAGTGTATTGTTTTTACCAATGTGGTTCAAGAAAAAACTGGGCCTCCATTGTGTTAATTAGTACCGTACATTAAAAATAATCACATGAATGAAAGGTGAGATTAAATTAATATGTTTAATTGTTTCTATTTTTGCATTTAAAGATTTGAAGAATTGCTACCGCTACTTGCAAGTAACACTACTCCATGAACATTCCTTTTGTCATACGAATGTGGATGGTATTGGGGAAATGGTGAGATTCAAGGGTGTTTGAGATTGGTTCGGATTATCATATATAGAACAAAAAGTGTAAGCCTGATTTTGTTTACCGTGTAAGGGGAGGGGGGGGTGGGGGTGATAATTAAGATGTATAGATGTTACGTAAGATGTAATTTTACGTTTCTGTATGCCATTAAAGAATAGGCGATTACGCAGTCTAAACAGTTTTATCGTGAGAGGCATTATGGCGGCACACAGCTAGAGGTAGTTTTTTACTGAGAGTAGGTTGCGCCACAACCCAAACACACCCGAGAGCACACCCAACCCAAGCGCGGGGCCGGCACACACCAACCACAGGGGCCGGCGCCGGCCGGGGCGCGCGCGCGGCGCACGCACAACAGCCGGCACGATCCGCAAACACTCGTGCACTCACACGCGTGCGCGCTAGCACAACGCACGCACGCACGGCACGCACAACGACAAACACACACGACATATATATAGTATACGCGTGCCCGACACAGAAGGTACCTACGAACGCACGCAACACGCGACGCACGGACGCGGGGGGGCTCATCGTACACACATACGTACAACAGACAGCCATGCACTCACTACGCCCGCAAACACCGGTACACATATATTAGCCGCACGCGGACGCAAGTAAAAAAACCTTTCCTCGCTCCCGTCCTTCCTTCGCTCTCTCTCTCTCTCTCTCTCTCACTTTAGTCTCTGTCTCTCTCCCATCTCTCTCTCTCTCTCTTTCTCTCTCTCGCTCTCTTCTCGTCTCTCTCTCTCTCTCGCTCTGCTCGCTCTCCTCCCTCTCCGTCTCTCTCTCTCCTCTCGTCTTATTTCTCTCTCCTCTCCTCTCTCTCTCTCTCTCTCTTCCCATCTATCTTGCCTTGTTTACACCCTAAACTGTGAAATGTGCCATGCATGTTTGGTTCATGCTGAAGCGCTCAATGTACGTCCACTTTTAAGAGTCACGTATCCCAGAGCGAACCTCGAAAACGCCATCACCGCGAGATTCAATTGACAGATTACGCGCTAGCAACTAATCGGGTTCGATCATGTCCAGAAGCGGATTGATTAGAATCCACTCCCCAGCCGGCTACTGCCGAAAATTACCGTCATATTTTACCAGCTGAACCGACTAAGTTTTTGACTACCGAATTCAGGTCTTTAAATGTCAAAAGCGTTTGGGCCCTTCTTCTTCCTTTCCTTAATCTGTAGCCGAGATCACCGCTCGAACGCCCGACATCTGAACAGATGGGGCACCACCTTCTCGTGCTCTCTCACCTCGCTGTTGGAGCGGCTCAGCGTACGGCCAGCACACAAGACAACCAAGATCTCAATTATTCATAGCCACCCTACTATTTAGTTCTCCTGCCTACTGTTTCCGATACTGAAAATCGCCAAGTGAAATAGCTGCATATCAAACCAGAGCACAGACCATTGTACGTATAGACCATTTAATCTCCATATGTAATTAGCCATGCTCTTAGCTAAAGTTTGTGGTTTTCTGCGATCAATGTATTCGTTCTGAAATCACCTTTCTGAAAATGTGAATGTAGCAATTGTAATCCTTGTTTACAGAGCTAGCATTATCGAATTTCGTTCTTAGCATTTCATGGGGAAGTTCCTTCTCGCAGCTATTGTTTTCTTAGACACATAATTTTCTCTCTAAGTTTTCTAATTCTACTCCCATTAACGTAGCCACTTGTCACTCCGATCACATCGCTCTTTAGCTAACCGTCGCAAAACGAACTCAGAATTAATGTATTTGCGCGGTGGTAACAATAATTTATGTTTTGATTACGATGGTCACCTATATACGATACTGATTGAGGCGATCAAAACAAAACAAACAACTGATGATTAAATATGGAGAAGCCCGTATCGTCATAGTCATCTTGATTTTATAATCCAAAATTTTGATCTAATTGATGATGGGATCGTTGGTCGGAAAACTTCCATAAACAGTGAAGAACACATTGTAGTGTCTAAGCATTACGAAAAATGAATTTCACGGGGTGCCTATACTAACTTCGGCCACATAACATTTTAATCGTTTTTATATTACTTTTTTCTATCATCAAATTTTTTCTGGCTATCATTCTATAATGTTACATATAACACATATATTATATTAATCGCGACACACTGTTAGGCCTACGAACTGTTTACCTGAACCATACCGATTTTTATACAGATCTAAATTAAATCGTGTTACAGCTCAAACGATGGTAAATGTATTTATCCGTAAGCCTTTGTCGCGCGATATCTAACACCTTAAACGAAGAAATCACAGCATTGTCAATAACATAGCTAGAATGTAACGTTTATAATAGCTAAATCAAGTATTCTTGTTACTCCGTACTAAAATATAATATTACTAGGTTTATAAAGATTAATTTACGGCGATAATTATAGGGAGGAACGATCAAGAGTCACACATACAAACATTTCCTCAGGCTATATAACGTTTCTTCGCTCGCGATCGGGCACGCCACCAGTGATAGTAGAAGTAATAATGTAGTGGCTCACACAACAAACACCACAACATGTTAAGCGTGCAGTGTGAAGGCTTAAAAGCCGCACAGTCAACTAGTTTAGAGCTCCGTAGTATCATCGATATTAGTATTATTATACGCAGGCCCGTAGCCAGGGGGTTCGGGGGGTCGAACGAACGCCCCCGCCGAGGCCTCCCCCCCAAGCAAAAAAAAAATTTGTTGAAAAATTGCAAGAATTCACCTCAGGTCGCTCCATTTTTATGTGTAATAATTGCAAATCTCACATCGTGCGGGAGGGTGAACAGTGAACAGAACATCCCCCCCTCCCCCAACACCTCCACCCGCTTCGTCGCTTGGGCTCCCTAAGCCTGGTCGCTTCGCGCCCGAGGCAGGGGCGTGTACAAGGGGGGGGTCCAGGGAGTCCAGACCCCCTTGCTCGCCGCAGAAAAAACGCATCTGAAGGGGGTGTAATTTTATAAAATTGTGGGGAGAGCCCCCCCAGACCCCCCGCTTCGCGTGCTCTACTTGGGTTATTACGGTTAGATTCCCCCCCCCCCCTGGTAACAAATCCTGTACTACGCCCTGCCCGAGCAAATTGCTAACATTGAAAACGACACCCCCCCCCCCCAACATAAAGCTGGCTAAGCGGGCCTGATAGACACAATAGTTTACGTTGAAAACTGTAGGCACGAGCATACAACACTATAGCGGCCTCTAGTGCGTAAATCAGCAGGTTCGTGCCCTAAACATTCGCAAGACAACTTCATAATAACACTCGAACCGTATATTAGTTAATAATTCCATACACCCTGCGCCCCACCTACCCACCTACCTACCTACCCACCTACCCACCTACCCACCTACCCACCTACCTACCTACCTACCTACCCACCTACCCACCTACCCACCTACCCACCTACCCACCTACCCACCTACCCACCTACCCACCTACCTACCTACCTACTTACATGCTTTCTTACATTCCTCCTTATGACCTTAGTTATGACATTGACAGATATTGACTTGCATTACGAGAAGATTTGAAGTTAGATGGAACTTAGCAGCTAACATTGAATGGAATAGCTGAAATTAGTATGAAGCAAGGTGAAATTCGTACTGTGAGCTCCAATTTCATGTTTGTAATATTATATTTTAGGTATCTCGAGTTCTGCATTGAAAAAGGAGAGCACAAGGAACAGGCTATACATAACTATTTGTTATCGTTGTATGCTAAATTAAAGCCAGAACAATTGATGACTTATCTGCAATTTCAAGGCGAAGACCCGGAAAAGGTAACTCGATCGTGCAAAACGTGCTGGCTTGAGTTATAGAAGGTTAATAATCTTTGAGTAGGTGTACATTGGGTACAAAGGTGAATTAATAATCCAACAATCCAAAATGAATGCATAAGTAAGCGTTCGCGTTCATATTAAACAGTTAAACCTGTGTATAAAGGTTACTTACATAAAACGCTAAAAGTTACCTTTATAGACAGGTGTTTCATTGTATAACTGCCACTCGAGGGAAACAGCAACAGTGTCCTTAACACGCCGTCATCCGTTCCATAGGCGGGTGACCGCTATAACCCCTGACCTTTGTGTACAGGTGTGCTACGACCTCAAGTACGCGCTGCGGCTGTGCACCGAGCACGGCCACCAGAGGGCGTGCGTCTTCATCTACACGACGATGGGCCTGCACGAGGAGGCGGTCGACCTCGCGCTCAAGGTCGACGTCGAGCTCGCCAAGGTCAGCGCCGATCGTCCGGAGGCGGACGAGCCGCTGCGCAAGAAGCTGTGGCTGCGCATCGCGCGCTGCGTCGTCGAGCAGGAGGGCGACATCGGCGCGACGATGCGCTTCCTGCGCGAGTGCGACCTCATCAAGGTCGAGGACGTGTTGCCGTTCTTCCCCGACTTCGTCACGATCGACCACTTCAAGGATGCGATCTGCGCGTCGCTCGGCGCCTACAACCGCCACATTGAGGCGCTGCGCTGCGAGATGGACGAGGCGGCGGCGGCGGCGCGCGAGGCCCGCGCCGACGCGCAGGCGTTCCGCGACCGCTACGCGCTTGTGCGCGGCGCCGACAAGTGCGCGGCGTGCGCGTACCCGATCCTCACGCGCGCATTCTACCTGTTTCCATGCCGGCACGCGTTCCACGCCGACTGCCTGCTCGCCGAGCTGCGGCCCTACCTGTCGGCGACAAAGCGGCAGCGCGTCGACGACCTCAGCTCGCGGCTGTCGACCAATCGCGAGCCGGAGACTGGGTCAACGGGGTCGCCGGCGGCGTCCGGTGCGCTGCAGACAAGGCAGGACCACGTGAAGGCAGAGCTTGACGAGTTGTTGGCGGACGAGTGCCTGTACTGCGGCAACAGGATGATACGCTCGATTAGCAAGCCCTTCATCGAGGCCGAGGGATACGAGAGTGAGATGCAGAGCTGGGTGTAGGAGTGCGGGGGAGTCCGCACGTCGAGGCTGAGGAGTAGAAAGCGAAGCTAGGAGAGAGAGAGAGAGAGAGAGAGAGAGAAAGAGAGAGAGAGAGAGAGAGAGAGAGAGAGAGAGAGAGAGAGAGAGAGAGAGAGAGAGAGAGAGAGAGAGAGAGAGAGAGAGAGAGAGAGAGAGAGAGAGAGAGAGAGAGAGAGAGAG